ACATTTTGCTCAGCCTGGAACATTTGAGTTTGAGTATGCTTCACGGTGGAAGGCTCTTGATGAGATGGAAAAGCAACAGCGTGAACAGGTTGACAGGAACATTAGAGAAGCCAAAGAGAAACTAGAGGCAGAAATGGAAGCAGCTAGACATGAGCATCAGCTAATGCTGATGAGGCAAGGTAAAATCGGATCATCTACTAGTATTACATTTGTTTTGTTACAGATTTTCGTTGTGTAGCATGTTGAGCTGCATGTTAAACTTAGAGATTTTGCCAGACACTGTTTAATTAAATGCATTGAACTGAGATAAAGGAAATAATATTTCTCCTTATACATAGTCCTTGATGATTTGCAGAGATGTATTAAGAAGCTGGAAAAGGAGTGATTATCTAGGTCTGTTTTTTTCTTTGCCTAAGTTTGTTAGCGTAAGCAGTTAATGTAGCAAAATTAAATGGTAGCTTCACAAATCAGTGACATTATTTTCCATTTTTGGCTTTGTTTATGGTACTAGGTAGGAATAAATCCTGTTTGTGGGCTATGTACAGGAAAAAATATTATACCTCATACTTCTTTTGATTGTTCTTTGCACCTCTGGTATGATTTAAAATGTTACAGTAGCTAATTTTACCTTTTTTTCCTTTGAAACTCAGCTGAGAAATCTGATGTGTGCATAGTATTTAGTTGCTAGTACATGTAATAACTCATTAATTTTAGTTCTTGAGATTTTAAGATCATGTTTTCCCTCTTTTTTTTATAACTGTTTGACCATCTTGTGTTTTGCTAGTGTTAGGGGAAAAAAATTTTCTCCAGCAATTACTTTCAAGCCCTATAATTAAGGATGGAGCTGGGTGGAGCCTGTTATTTTCAGAGAGGGTAGTAGCAAAGTGAATGATACTTGCTCCTTTTTAGCCTTCTCCCCAAACCACGTTTTTACCAAAGTATTCTGGACATGCAGTCACTGCTTTTGAGCTCAGAACTATTGAACCACTACTTGATTTTTAGTTCCCTCTCTGTGACTGCTAAATTGCAATACTTGAGTAGATAAAATTTAAATGTATTGCAACTCTGTTGGAAATAATATCAAGCTTTGTTGCATGAAAGAAACACTGAGGTTTTTTTGATACTTTCTAATTTAATTTAAGAGAGATTGTGGCTACTTAAAAAACTCTTATCAGAAGAGTGTTAGATCATCAGACAGTGTAATAAATAAATAAATAGCTTATAGGCTGAATAAGAGTGCCTTGTCATTTTAAAAGGCATTTGAACTTGAGATTTGAAGCAGTAAATGCATTTCAAAACTTAAACCCAGGCAACTCATACAAGTTGTCTGCTGCAATTAATACTTACTCTTAAGAAAGAGCATTTTTGTTGGTAGTATGACATCCCTGTGTGAGACTGGGTTATTGTGAGTTTTTCTGCTGACTTAAATGACATGTTGAAAATATCTGTATCAAGTGGATTAGAGCATTCACTAGATTAGTGGAATAAAGCACCTAAATGCTTGGACATATTGAATGTAAGCACATAATCTTTTGAAACATTTTTGTAACTGGCAAAATTTATTTAAAGGAGCATTTTTTAATATTATGTTCTTCTGCAACTGGAAGTTGTGATTAGAAAAAACTTTATGTAGCCTGTTTTTTCTTAATAGGCTTGCTTGCTTTTAGTGTGAAACTGTACTGTTTGTATCTTGTCCTGAAATAATCGAGCATAATAAAATAAACTGTTTCAAAATGCCAAATAGTTACTGCAGCACCTGGAATGACAGCTGTCAAGATGTTTCTTGGTTTATTTCCCAAGTAAAAAATTTTAAAGCATTTGATTTGCATGTAAGCATATGTATATCTTACAGTTGCACAATGTGAATGTTAATGTGATATCACAGCAATACTTTTAATACACAGTACAGCCCTCCTTTTTCAATTAGACACACATTTTAAATTTTCTATGGATGTATGACTGATACTGGTAAAAATTTTCAGTGCTGAAAACACGGTTTAGATAAATTTACCATTGTCTTAACTGTTAACATCTGACATGTGGTGATCCTGTTACAGAACTTACACTCTTTAATTTTTTTTTTTTTTTTTTTTTTTTTTTTAGCATTTATCTATCTGTTGCCTATATTTGATGGCAAGGTTAGGGATTAGTTTTTCCTAAATTACAATGCCTTAATCATCTTTTAAACTGAGACAAGAAGGCAGTGGCCTGTTCAGTAAGATGAAAAAGAACCTGATGGTAAAACATGGGAGGAAAACTTAGGTGTGTTCTGTGGATATTAGGGTTTCTTTTAAGGACTCTCTTAAGGAAAAAAATATTCTTTTATTTTTTTAGTATTTATTAAGCTACACTATTACATGGAAAAGGAAAATAATTACTCCTTTTGAAGAGCTGCTATAATATGAATGCTTTTGGTGCTTGTATTCCAGTGAGGAAACATACTTTTTTTAGTGTGGGAAGAGGTTTTTTTCATTCTCGGTTTGACAGGGTACCTCTCTTTCGTACCAAATAACTGGGAATTTTGTTCAGATAATTAGATTTCTGCATAGTCACCTGCAGATGTTTAGTTTGTCAGGCCCTATGGGTCAATAACATCGCTTCAGTTTATCTTGTCAACTGTCCAGCTTCAGTATGTATGAAAATAAGGTGTTTTGGTTTTTTTTCTTGTATTTATTTTCAGACATTAGCTGTTTTTAAATCTTGTTCATCTGGACAGCATTTCTGGGTGTAAGTTCAGACCATACTAAGAATATTAGTTATATTAATGAGGTGGAATTACGAGGTTTTAAAGAAAGACGCAGTGAAACTTTTGAGGCATCAGAACACAGTGTTATTATTTTTGCATACCTGAGGCACACACCACAGATTTACAAGTGTATTGAAATACTTACTCTGAAATAAGAAACGCAGTTAATTGTCAGGAGCTAAAAAGATTCAAACGGTGAGCTTACTAGAGTCTGTATATTGCAGGTGAAGGTTTTTTTTAGAAATTGCTTTATAAGAGCTAGTAGGACTTGAACTAGAACATGTTGGCTTTTAAGTACTCAGGTTTTGTGATCTGTTATTAATACTGAAGGTATAATTTATTCTTATGATACATATAATTTTTTACTTTAAAGTGTCATGTTTTGACAGATTGAGTCAGTAGTAATTTGTAAAGCAGAATACGTGTAAGTAAATTGGCATGATGAAATATAACCAGAAGTTTCACACTTTAACAGTTATGTGGAAGCTGGGCATTTGTTTTCCATTTTTAGAACGTGAAAAGTCAGCAGCTATAACAACTGAAAAATCTTTTTGAACTTGGTATTCCTGCCTGTAGGATTAATTTCTGAGTTGAGAGTACACGTTCACCGTCTGTCCTCTGCTCTGCAGAAGGTTGAGGATAAAATGAAGAAGATCTTGCCCTTTTTTAAGCACAAGAAAGTGCAGAAGCTAGTAGTAGGCTTTGTCTTTTTTTTTTTTCCACAGCTGCTTTAGTGCAGGTTTTTCATATTCAGAGAAAGGTTCTGTGTCCAACATAAGTCAGTCCAGAATTACCATTAATTGCAGATCTTTTAATATGAATAGCTCTATGCACAGCCCAAACCTCTAGATCTGTATTTTCATCTGGCTAGTAAGGGGCTTTGTGCCAAGATCCTGTCATTGCCAAATAATACTGGATCTTAAATTGGTGTGTTGAACTTTAAAACACTAATAATTTCAGGAAAGGCAACAACCCAAACTGTGCTGTGGAAAAAAAATTAAGGCTACATCTTAAGAACAAAGGGGAGAAAATGATAAAATTTCTAGCAATTAGTGGTCGAAAGTAGCAAATCCTGTGTTAGTGTAGTAACACAAAAAGGGAATGCTAAAAAAATTTGGAAGAACAAAGAACTGGCAAGGAAACATCATTTCCCACAGTGGACAATACTGACCATGTAATGTCTCTGTTCTGTAATGCTCTGAAACAACCTAAAGGTTACTTAAAAAAAAAAAAGTGCACTTACATTCTAAAATAATCTTGATTATTTTAAAAAAAACCCCTACAAACACAAAAGGTGTTTGTGGCACTCCCCAAGTATCAGGATAACAGTGGCCAACCCTTCTATGGCAAGCACATTGGAAAAATGTGGCCTTCAAACTTTGTGGCTTAAATGAATCTTTAATGTAATCATGTTTTATTGAAGTGTGAAGTATGTTAATTTTGCACAAGAGATAGGAAAAGCAAGCCAGCAAAATGTGCTTGAGAAAGGACTTCTAATGTCAATAAGGATGCTGTGAGAGTAAAAATCTGCTAATCATCTTTGTTAGAAATAAATGTATGATACTTCAGTGCAATGTGCTCATAATTTTAGTTGTTTTTGGATGTTAAAGTAAAAGATTAAGTTGTAAAAATATATGCTGACGTAAATTTGAGGAAAGAGATTTGCATAGCTTAAAAGGTACTTCAATTAGTAGAGTGAAGAAAGGCATACAGAAGTGTGTGGAACATAAAAGGCGTATAATAAGTGGCATAGTGGAAGGTTCCTCATGGTTACAAATCCTGTCATGTGTCCAATAGCCTCTGAAGACAGAAAAGGCAGACAACTGCATTCTGACAAAAAGTAGAATTAATATTAATTGAGGAGAGCATAAATTTCCATGCAGAAATCAATAATGTGACTGGTCAGAAACTAGTACAGCAAAAATAATTATTAATTGAACCGTGCTTTTAAAGAGTATTTTAAGAAGATATGGGTGTTCCTCTCTGGAAATGTTAAAGATTAGTAATTTTTAAGTTGCTGTAAGCAGTCATGTGATAAATCTGCATGGACGCTCAGATTATGTGCACGTGAAGGTCGTATCACATTTTTTCTGATTTGTGCCATGCAGTGGTCTGCAATAGATACTGGAGTGTATATGCCCGTGTATAGTGTGCTACTTTTCTTGTTTGTTTGACTTCAGTGGTATATAGCATGGTGAGAAAACTGATCCCTTGCTCTATATGTAAAACAGGATTATGATTTAAGAGATTCGGAGGTTTCCTCCTCCTTTTATTTGTTTGAGGACTTGAGATTTCTGTTTCCACAACCTGCTTCAGAGGCTTTCACAGTCCTTTGTCTTTCTGTCTTTCTGTGAGTTGTGGATCCAGTCTTTTTTTTCATATACTAGACTTGTCTTGGTGGGAAGAAACAAATGATAAGTGATAACTAAAAAGTGAGAAATTTCTTTAAAAAGGGAGTATTTAAACTGTGATCTGACAGTAATAGCTGTTTTTTGTGTTGCCGTATGGTTGATTTTCAGCTATTACCTTTGTTACATTTTAATCCTGCTAGATCTCATGAGACGTCAGGAAGAGTTGAGGCGTTTGGAAGAACTTCGAAATCAAGAACTTCAAAAACGCAAGCAGATACAATTGAGGTATTTTGTTTTCTACTGTGCAAAGGTGTGGCATGCAGCTGCTCCAGGCCTGCATGAATTTAGATACTTCAGCTTGTAGAGCTTGCTTTTGATAGCAAATAAAAATATTTCTGCTTCTAAAAAGCTTGCTTGTCAGAAGTGTAATATGGGATGTTTCTATTAATGTTCTTGAATGTGAAAGTGATCACTTATGCTACCATAAAATAATGGTTTCAAGAATTTATTATTTTTTTTCCATTTATTCCACTTCCGCTTAATCTTTTGTAGATTTTGGAGCTTTCTAAATAGCATAGAAATGTCTTATTGTTGTTTCATATTATTTATTTTAAATTTGTGGCTGAACCATAGCAGTAGTAGATACCAACATGCTTCTAAGATTTATGGGAAGGTAACTGCCTGTGTAAAAGTAGCATCGCAAATTTACAGTCTGACATGTGATTTTTGAGGCTATTTTCATTTGATATTCTGGTATGTTGCAAACAATTTTTCCTTTAAGATCTGATTAATACAAATACTTGCTTTCATGCCTCTGCTAAAATTCAAGAAAGCAGACCTAGTATCGTCACGTTGATTGAGTTTTCAAATTTTTGATAAATATCAAAAGGAATGTAGATGGGAAAAAAGAAAACACAAGCAGCTTGCAGAGTTAAAATATGTCTTTTGGCAGTATTTAAATATTTTAATCCATAGTGGTTTGTTACAAACTGAAGTATTTTAACCTGCTTACCAGTATGCAGCCAGAAGAAGAGTTACGGAATGTACTGCTATTGTAATTGCCTGTATTCTGGTTAACAATAACAAAAGCATAAATAATATCCAAACTCGTCAGATGGAATAGATTAGTGCCATACACTATAATTGAAATAACTGCCAGTTTTGTTAGTATGCTTGATCTTATCTCCTGAGACTGAATACAAGCCTGAACAGGTCAAGAGTGTATGTTGACATAATTTTTGAAAAACATTCTAGACATGAAGAAGAGCATCGGCGTCGTGAAGAAGAGATGCTACGCCAGAGGGAGCAGGAGGAATTACGACGGCAGCAGGAGGGAGGATTTAAGCCAAATTTCATGGATAATGTAAGTAAAATTCTATGACAAATAGTGAAACGTTTTAAAATTAAAAATTGTAATATTGTTGTTTGCTGTTTTTCCTTCAGTATTCCATCATTCTCTTGTGTGGATTGGTACAAATTTAGCAGTGCAGTTATTCTCTTGTAGAATGGCACCACTTATTTTTCCTACAAGCTAATGATGTAACACTTCAGCTAAGTGAAGGTGTTCAAATAATAATTTGACTTTTTTATTTGGGAAATTAATTTTCCCAATAAAATAATAGAATTTTTACAAGTGAGAGGTCATGGGAATAAGTTTCCATGAGGAGGTGCCCTATTTTTACTGAAGGTTTAAATTTTAAACCAGTTCAGGCTTTTAAGCTTGTTGGAATTGCTTGTTTTGTTTTTTGCATAACTTACTAAGATTAATATACTTCAGAAACAATATGGGCAATATTAACTTCATATAGAGCCTAAAATCACTCCTCCCCTTTACCCTGATGTAAAACTAGATGAGGAAAACATTGAAAATCTTTACTAAAGGACTCTGAATGCAACCTTATTTTGAATGCTTTAGTGTTATGTGAGAAAGATACCTTTTACTGTTACAGCTTTTCTTAGTGAAGAAGCAATTAATAAGCAAGTCACACATTACTAATTGACATTATTAAAACAACTATGGAGTACAGGATGGAATTTTACCTCCCTTTACAGGTAGAATTTGATACTTAAATAAAAAAAAACCTGCTGGTTTCAAAGCTCCTTTTCAAAGCTCCTTTTGAAGTAGAAACTGTTTTACATTCTATACCGTAACATTTTCCGCTGGGTTGAGAGGAATATATGTATATTTTGAGACATCCTAAGAGAAGCTAGAAAATAAGATTTCCTGTTCTCAGCAAGACATATTTTTCCCATCCTCTGTCCCTTAGCATTTTTAGCAAGGATGGGAGGAAGCAAAATTGTTCCTTTGATATTACTGACAGGTATCAGTTGATTTTGCTGATTGTGTTTTGAGAAACTTGCAGCAGAAAGCAATTGATAATTTATTTCCATATGTGCTCACACTGTGAAAGAAAACTGCTTTCAGCATGTCTTTTCTTTGGGATGACAAAGATCAGGAATTCAAAACTCAGTGTTCTTTAGTGTGTTCCCACATATTATTAAACATGCTTTGTGAAATAGCACATAACAATTGTCTGATGTAATTTAGAAATAGCATTTATTGATTGTGACTTCTGTAGTCCCAACTATGAAATTTCATTTTACCTTCATGTCTTCATGTAGCATCTTTTGGGGTGTCTGACTTCCTGACCCCATAAGCTACCTGTGAGAGCCCTCCTGTGGCTGATCTCTGAGACCCATGCTGCTTATTGCAGAGAGCTGCAGGAAGAGGAAGCTGGGGAGCTGACCTACAAGCTTGAGATGATGGTAGCTCCCTCAGATTCCTTTGCTGTTAAAGGATTATGGCCTGTACCCTGCAACTTCGGGTGCTGGAAAAGCTAGATAATGTTGGTCACAGTAAACTCTGCTGGTTTTCTTCTTCCAACTGCCTTGAGATGTAATTTAGCTTTTGTGCTTGAATTGCCTGCCACAGTGTGGCCAATCCTTGTGCTTATCTGCATCTTTAAATTCTGCCGAAACCTGTGTGAATAGAAACTGTTTAAGTTGGTGGGGACATGGTGAAAATGTAGTGCAAGAGGGAAGAGGAATGGTTCAAATGGAAGGCAGTTCAATCATGATGCATAATTTTTGCGAATTTTATACAATGAAGTTTTTTTTGGGTAAAGATGAATGAATACTTTGAAGAGTATAGATTTCCCACTTAGTTGTGTTTCTGGAATTGTGTGTTCATCTGGAACTGATTAATACACTGCAAGATTATATAGATGTAGCTGTGCAGTGACATTATGAAAAGTGATTTAAATTGTATAAATTAATATATAGTACAGGTGGTGTCTTTCATGTCTTACAAAGTTGAAGTGGCATATATAGTGGTTTAAAACAAATGTTTTCTCTAATTGTCAGACTACTCTTTAGTATTCTGGTCATGTGTTCACTTCTTTTTTACTTCTACTGTCCTTAACTTTAGCAGAAGAATTGAAACAAAATTGGAAGTGATGAATTTACATTCTTTAGCAACTCTTTCTAATAAGAGCAGCTATGTAACTCTCTAAGCATGGCCTGTCATTTTATAGGTGTTCATTATATCTTTAAATAGCTGTACTTAAGTTGCATAGTGTGAATGGATGTTTGGAAAAGTCTTTGCATTTTGCAGCCGAGAAGAATTGTAAACCATTTCTGGAGATGGCAAAATCATGTATCAGATCTTTTTTCAATGTAGCAGAATTTCTTATGAAACTAATTTTTAAAATTTATTCTTACTAATAGTTGTTTACTGTGAACAAACTCCATCTGGTAACTACTTCTAGTCTCAGATTATCATTGTACCTGCACTGAAAAAAGTTGTTCTCTGTTTTAAGAACTTAAAAGTTGCTTCTTGGTGAAAATTACATTTCATGATACTGGTAGATAGCTTGTACCATATTAGATCTTGATAAACACATTTGGCATAATCCTTCTATTAAAATATTCTGCCAACCATGAATTTAGAAAGAAAGTAATAGTTTCTAATATTTGTTTTTGTTTCTTAAAAGCTTTGAAAAGTAAGCTTCCTTCACTTTTATCCTATTCCTTTTTACTGTTCAGTATAAAAGAAGGACATAAATGGTAAGTGCAATGACAACAGAATTGGAACCTCTCATAAAAGACTGCAGTGTTAAGCTTTTCTGTTTAAAGTTTCTTTCTGTACCTTTTCCCTAACTTGATAATCTTTGATTTTTTCAGTGTGACTACTGTTGAAAAACATCTTGTGACCAAGTTTAATGCAGTTACCTTTTACTCGGTTTAATTACAGAGAAAAATATTTTCTGTGTGGTGAATACTCATTCTGAAAGATTCTTTTCATGGTGATGTTGTACGTGAAAAATTTGGTTACATTGAGTTTTAGTCTAATGTGCAGCCTAGTGATTCCTAAATAATTTATTACTCTAGTTGTGTGACCTCTATTAGAGAAGTTATGGATAAGCACTTGGATGGCTTTTCCTATGCCCTCTAAAAGTTGAAAATCTGGTACAGCTCAGTATAAATGTGTAGTAATTTTTGTGATAGCTCAATCAGGAAATGTGTTTTCCTGCAATATTCTACTGATTTTAATTTTGTATACATAATTCTTTCTAAAAGAGGACCTTGCTGATGCTGATTGGAAGCAATATTTTATTTCTCAGCAGCACAAATATTTTAAAAAAATACAATACTTGTAAGGACTAGTAATATGTTAATAATACAAACTGTGCAATTGTTACTGTTTACTGTGAATGGCTTACATAGATTTACATTGTTAAAGCCTTCTTACCAAATAATTCCAGTTCCATGAACTGCTTTTATTCATGTCATCAAAGAGTGTGATTTGGATTTAGTTTATTAAAATAGTTTTCATGTGTCTACCAAAATACATAGAAGTTGTAGTCTTACTTTTATGGTACACAGATTTAAATCTGTAGTAGCACTGCAAAATAGTGTAAAGTGGGTATTGTACTTCTGAAACAATAGCTGTGATACTGGCATACAGCTCCTTTAAAGAGGGCATTGAGATTTTTGGGTGTCCTTGTCCCCTGCCCTCCAAGATAATTCTGTTTTTCAAGTTTAACATGAACATGTAAGGAGCTGTTTCTGTTTCAGCACTTTCAACTTCTAAATGCTTACTATTCTTTCATGTAAGATTGTATATTAAATATTTAACTCTTTTTTTAATCTCCTAGTCTTTTCAATAATTGATTCTAGGTCTTGTTTTGCTTTCCTTTAATTTTTCTTACACTGAAGTTCTGCTGCTCAACTGTGTTTTTTAAATATCAGCATGAAGTGGCAGCTGCTAAGCCAGTGAAGATTGCCTCAACAGCAGAGATTCTAGTGAATTTCAATCAAAAGCTGTAAGACAGATGAAAGCAAGGTGGTAAAAAAGCATGTTCCAAACCAACAAAGCTTATAGACTCAGGAATTCCAGAAACTTGATTGGAAAAAAAAATAAAAAAAAAAAATCTTTCTTATATGACTTTTGTTCTTTTTTTGTAGCAGTTTAGAAATACAGCTTCCCATTTCTTTATTTTGAGTTTACTGAAGCATATTGTATTCTTCACTTCCACATTGACTTGCAAGTTAATTGGTAGACATTTTTGAAAAGAAGACTATCAGTTAGATTTTCTAGAATTCTGTAATTTAAGAATTATTTTTTTGCAGTTCTTGGCTCTTAAGTGACTAGAACTGCATGTTTCTTTTTCTGTCTTCTGGTGCCAATTCACTGAACGCAGACTTGTTTTCCATCTTACTCAAAAGTAAACTAAGCTAAGGCAGATTTCCACTAATAAATAAATTATTTTTTTTCCAATGATCTCTTCAAATTTGATGTTTCCTACTAGTAATACATTTTGGTTATTTTATTTTGACATCCTAGCGTACTTAATGAAGCTGATGGCAGTGAAGTTTGGTGAGGTTGTATGAATATAGTTACTGTTTCTTAACAAACTGTTACAAAGCTAAGCAGCTTTATAAAAGCTCTTTTGTAGAGTTTGATTGGGAGAGAGGAATTAGCTCCTTGTTGCAATCCAGCATGCACACTCACAGAGGAAGTAAGTAGTTCGTGTTTCACACCTTAAAGGTCTTTTAAGGTAAAATTAGTTTGAAGAAAGGCAGATCATCAAATGTAGAACTGAAATTAAAAAGCCAAACAAAAACAACCAACCTGTCAAAACAGTCCTGCTTTATTTCAGTGATTGAATTTCTTCCTATGCATGAAGTAGCATAGGTTAGGCCTTTGAGCAAGCAGTTTATAAATACACAATTTGTGCTTTTGTGGGTGGTCTTAGTTCTACCCAAACATCTTTTCTAAAATTATTTTTCCAGGATTGCAGTGATATGTATAAGTAGACAGGTGCTTAAGTCTTACAATTCTTCTTTTTCCTCTAACAGTGT